AGAGCAGTGGTGTTAGTGCTCCAAGTCAAGTTCTGCTCAATAATCACTCCCAAAAACTTAAAAGTAGCCACCCTCTCCACACGTTCTCCACCAATAAACAGTGGCTGAATGTCCGTTTTGTTCCTCCTATAGTCCACTACCAATTCCTTGGTTTTGGTGGTGTTGAGGATCAAATTATTTTCCCTGCACCAAACACAAAGCCGTTCCACCTCGTCCCGATAAGCAGACTCATCATTCCCAGAGATGAGCCCCACCACAGTGGTGTCATCAGCAAACTTGATGATGGTGTTACTGGGGTGGGTGGGGGTACAATCCTGTGTGTAGAGGGTATAGAGCAAGGGGCTCAATACACAGCCTTGTGGAGAACCGGTATTAAGGGTAAGGGCTGTGGACATATAGGACCCTACTCTAACCCTCTGGGGGCGGGCTGTCAAAAAGTTCAAAATCCAGAAACATATGGAGCTGGAGAGTCCAAGGCCCTCCAATTTGGACACTAATCTATCTGGGAGGATGGTATTAAAGGCAGAACTGAAATCCACAAACAACAGCCTCACATAACTCCCCGGCTGCTCCAGATGTGACAGAGCAGTATGCAGAGTAGTGTTGATGGCATCCTCTGTGGATCTGTTTGCCTTATATGCAAACTGGTGACTATCCAGTGTCCAGTTGCACTCACTCCGGTTGTGACTACGTACCAATTTCTCAAAACACTTCATCACAACCGGAGTGAGTGCAACTGGTCTATAATCCTTTAGACTGCTGATTGTGGATTTTTTGGGCAGGGGAACAATAATTGAGGACTTTAGGCAAGATGGAACAATGGACTGGTGTAAGGACCGGTTGAAGATCTTAGTAAAGACCTCTGCCAACTGGTCAGCACACTCGTTTTCAACACCCATCCCGTAATGCCATCAGGTCCAGCCGCTTTCCTCGGATTCACAGACCTCAGTGTACGCCTCACCTCATGCTCTTCTACCCTGAGGGAGGGGCCACCATGGACAGATGGCTGTAATATGGCTGTCCCCTTCGGCGTTTTGGGCAGGAACGCACAGGAACGGAGTTCCGGCTGGCTCCTGAGTTGGCCACACCCAGCAGGAACTCATTAGCATAATAGGCCACACCCAACAGCAGAAACTCCTTAGGATTGGCTACATTAGGGGTGTGTGGCCTAACATGCAAAGGAGTTCCTGCTACAAAAAAAGCCCTGGGTTGTGACAACAAACAAGGTAAACAGAATAAGTGTGGTTGGATGACCACACTTCTGGTAACGTGGGGTGTGGCCTAATATGCTAATGGAACTCTGCTGTTGGGTGTGGCCTATTATGCTAATGAGTTCCTGCTGGGCTTTTTCTACAAAAAAAGCCCTGGGCGAAACGATTCCGATCACTTTGCTTGTTGAGCCCAGAATCATTTGCCGTCTTGTTTTTTGTTTCCAAGCGTGGTCATCTGAATGCTTCTTGGTTCACAGGTAGGACATTATGCAGGTATCCTCCCTCTCTGCCTTTACGCTCAGCGTCTGGCCCTCCAAGGTACGCTGCCTCTGAACATGGGAGTTCCATTTGGCAATCATGACTAATAGCTGCTCACAGGCTTGTGCGTTTGTTCCTTTAATTATCTGGTCCTGTGCTTTCCAGAATATTGATTCCGTGTTGTGTGCAGAAACCTTTCACTGTGCGGGTAATCTTGGCGCTGCCAGTCTGCTCCATTGTGTGCGTGTTGCCTCTGACTTACGGCTACCCAGAGGCTAAGACGCTGAGCTGCAGGCTAGAAGGTCTGTAGTTCGGCAGTTCGAGACCCGAGTGCCGCGTGACGGGGTGAGCTCCCGTCTCTGGCCCCAGCTCCTGCCAACCTAGCCGTTCGAAAGCAAGACATTGCAAATAGATAAATAGGTACCGCTTCGGTGGGAAGGGAACAGCGTTCCGTGCACCTCGGCGTCTAGTCACGCCGGTCGCATGACCATGGAAATGTCTTCGGACAGCGCTGGCTCTTCGGTTTGGAAACGGAGATGAGCAAGGGAACCCTTTACCTTTATGAATTAATGTCTTGTCCTTAACAGCCTTGCTCGGGTCTTGCAAACGGAGGGCCTTTGTGGCTTCCTTGTTGGAGCCGATCTGTCTCCTCATGGGTCTTCCTCTTCTTCTGCTGCCTTCAACCGTTCCCAGCATTATTGTCTTTTCCAGTGACTCTTGTCTTCTCGTAAGGTGAGGGGTCTGGAGACCAAGTCCTGTGAGGAAAGGTTGAAGGAGCTGGGTATGTTTAACCTGGAGAGGAGACGACTGAGAGGGGATTGGATCACCATCTTCAAGTACTATAGAGGATGGGGCGGAGTTGTTTTTCGTTGCCTCAGAAGGCCGGACCAGAACCAATGAGTTGAAATTAAATCAGAAGAGTTTTCGGCTAAACATGAGGAAGAAATTCCTGACAGTGAGGGCGGTTCCTCAGCGGAACAGAGAGAGCCAGTTTGGTGTCGTGGCTAAGTGCGTGGACTGTGATCTGGGAGGATTGGGTTTGATTCCCACCTCCTCCACTTGCAGCTGCTGGATGACCTTGGGCAAGCCACAGTTCCGTCAGAGCTGTTCCTGAAAAAGAGCAGTTCCTGTCAAGAGCTCTCTCAGCCCCACCTGCCTCACAGGGTGTCTGTTGTGGGTAGGGGAAGGGAAAGGAATTTGTAAGCCGCTCTGAGGCTCCTTTGGGTAGTGCCAGTTTGGCGTAGTGGTTAAGTGTGCGGACTCTAATCTGGGAGAAACGGGTTTGATTCCCCACTCCTCCACTTGTGGCTGCTGGATGACCTTGGGCAAGCCATAGTTCTGTCAGAGGTGTTCTTTAAAAGAGCACTTCTCGAAAGAGCTCTCTCAGCCCCACCTGCCTCACAGGGTGTCTGTTGTGGGGAGGGGAATGGAAAGGTGATTGTAAGCCGTTCTGAGACTCCAAGTGAAGGGCGGGGTATAAATCCAATCTCTTCTCTTCTTCTCTTCCTCGGGAGGTGGTGGGCTCCCCTTCCTTGGAGGTTTTCAAACAGAGGCTCGATGGCCATCTGACAGCAATGCGGATTGTGTGAACTGAGGCAGATCACGAGGGGGGGGCAGGAAGGGTTGCCTCAGGGATTAGTTCTCGTGGCCCTTTCTTACAGGCCCAGAGAAATGTTGATCGCCACTTTGGGGTCAGGAAGCCATTTTCTCAGGAAGTGCTCAGGGGAGAAAGTTGGCATCTCTAATAAGACCAGAACGTCCATTTTTAGCCCTAGGGGGATTCATTGTTCTGAATCTGTGAATGAAGAGATCCCTTGGCAGTTGGAAAAGTCAGTGCATGAGTTCGAAATCTGCCCTTCTCCACCGAACTCCAGAGCCGGCCTGCTGTCTCACATCACTGTGGGAGCATAAACGCTCCAAGTGACTGGCATTTGGCTAAGAAGCCCAGCCGGCGAGTCTGGATCTGCCTTTGCATTTCTCTGTCTTCCGGCAACTTCCTTTTGCCTACGTGCCTATGGCCTGGTGCCCCGTCATTTCTTCCTTGCCGGAAAGCGAAAGGGTTGTGAAGTTCTGGTCTTGTGAAATTCTGCTGCGGTATCTGGGTGAGCAAGTCGATAGGCCAGGCGGCGGGTCACATAAGGGTCGGGTACTTCGGCAGCACCGCCCTTTCCTCAAACAAGAGGAAGAAGCCTCTTTAAGAATCAACCGGTTTGGTATGCTGACGTCTTAATTCCAGCAAAACAAATGCGCGCACTACTCTTGTGAAACGCTTCAAAAACGTCTTGTGGATGACAATGACGTTTCACAGCACCAAGCGAGCGTTTTCTGGGGTTGAGCGATTCTTCTCTTTTGCCTTTTAACCTGGCACGCCTAGAGATGCGAAGGCCCGGAAAAAAATGGGAAAATTCGGACAAAAGCCAACGGGTTTTTCCTGTTTTTCCCCTGAAGCCTTTTTTTGCTTTTTTCCAAAAAATTGAAACTGTGAGCCAGCTCACACGAACTCAGATTAGAGGGAACACTGGCCACAAGGGATAGATGGGAACTCTCGGTCTGGGGCAAGGGATGCTCTGTCTTCTTGGTGCTTGGGGGGGGGGGGCAAGAGGGGGGGGGCTCCTAGCGTCCTGGCCCCACTGCTGGACCTCCTGATGGCCCCTGGTGTTTTTGGCCACTGTGTGACAGAGTGTTGGCCTGGATGGGCCTTTGGCCTGACTCAACATTGGCTTCTCTTATGTTCTTATGAGAACGGCTGAGCCGCTTCGGCGGGAGGACGGGGTAGAAATTTAATTAAAAAAATAAAAGTATCAAGTGATGAGTTGTGTGTCCTCCACTCAGTATCGCTGATTCCAGAGGATACTTTTAGTTTTCTTAAACAATGGCATTTTGAGACTTCGTTACATGCTTCAGCACACGACATGTAATTTCCCCCCCTCCTTGGATTACGGATTGTCGGGAAGATTGCGGAGAGGATGGATGCGGAGCGCTTTGGGCTCCTCCGAAACGCCACAGCCATGCCAATTTCTTATTGTTGTGGCCAGACATTCCCAAATTGGTTTGCTCACGGCTGAATTCTAACTGCGTCTTCATTCCCCAGGTCACCGGTTATTTGGATGATTGCACGTGTGACGTTGAGACACTGGACGCCTTCAACAACTACAAGGTTTTCCCGAGACTGCAAACCCTCCTGGAAAGTGATTATTTCAGATACTACAAGGTAATTTTCACGCAGGCAGTTTATCTCAAGGTATAGATAGGGGCTCTGGGGCAAGTGATGCTCTGTCTTCTTGGTGCTTGGGAGGTCAACAGTGGGAGGGCTCCTAGTGTCCTGGCCCCACTGCTGGACCTCCTGATGGCACCCAGTATTTTCGGCCACTGTGTGACACAGAGTGTTGGACTGGGTGGGCCATTGGCCTGATCCAACATGGCTTCTCTTATGTTCTTATGTCTGGGGCAGTGATGCTTAGGGGGCCATAGTGGGAGTGCTTCTGGAGTTCTGGCCCCGCTGGTGGACCTCCTGAGGGCACCTGGGTTTTGGCCACTGTGTGACACAGAGTGTTGGACTGGATGGGCCTTTAGCCTGATCCAACATTGGCTTCTCTTATGTTCTTAGGTTTTTATCCTTCAGCCTTTCATTTTTACATGCAAGCTGCTTTTATAACACATTATTTTTTTAATTGACTTCATTTATACCCTGCCTTTCTTCCTAATGGGGACCACAAGCTGCTAACGTCTCCTCCGTTGTGTCCTCACAACCACCCTGTGAGGTAGGCTAGGGTGAGAGTCAGTCGCAAGGTCCCCCAGTGGGGAATTTTGAACCCGTCTCACCCAGACACTCTAACGACTACATCACACTGAGAGTCAGTTTGGTGTTAGGAGCAGGGACTCTGATCTGGGAGAACTGACTTTGATTTCCCCACTCCTCCACATGCAGCTGCTGGTGTGACCTTGGGTCAGTCACAAGTTATTTTCAGAGCTGTTCTCTCAAGGGCAGTCCTCGAGAGAGCTCTAGAGCTCAGCCCCACCTACCTCAAAGAATGTCTGTGGTGGGGAGGGGAAGGGAAAGAAAATTCTAAGCCGTTCTGGAACTCCTTTGGTCAGGAAAGGGCAGGGTATAAATCCAATCTCCTCTTCCTCTTCTTCTCTCAACATAGTTACATTTTATTCTAAAAGCTAGGAATTATGGGGAGGGGCCGTGGCTCAGTGGAAGAGCCTCTGCTTGGCCTGCAGAAGGTCCCAGGTTCAGTCCCTGGCATCTCCAGTTAAAAATAGACCAGGCAGGAGGCGATGGGAAAGACCTCCGCCCGAGACCCTGGAGACAGCAGCTGCCAGTCAGAGTACACAAGACTGACCTTGATGGATCAACATTCTGATTCAGTATAACGCAGGTTCGTGTGTGTTCTCAGCATGCTCTGGCCAGCCATTTCCCCAAACCGGTGCTGGCTTTCACTGGAACACAATTGTACATCTGGACGGGTCCGTCCCCGCCCCGCCCCGCCCCACCCCAGTGCTTTCTGACCCAAATGTGTAGAGTTTATTATCGGTTAACTCTGAAGTTTTCTCTTGTGTGTTGGAGAAGACAGAGCCCCTGTTTTACGTGCAGAAGGTCCCAGGGTTCCATCCCCAGCATCTGCTGTGAAAAGGATCCGAACAACAGGTGGGAAAGGCCTTCCTCCCTCTGCCTGAGATCTAGGAGAGCTGCCGCCATTTAGAGTGGGTGCCAGGCAATGCCTCCCTCTGAGCTGTGGAGTCCCGAGAGCAAAAATTCTACTTTGTGAGCTCCCGGCATTCAAGTTGTGAGCGGGTGATTTGCCTGCTGCATAGATTAATTGCCTCTGGAGCCACATCCTTCCCGAGCGAAGGCAAAAATGTGTGAGCCGGAGGCTAGGAAACTGTGAGCTAGCTCACACTAACTCAGCATAGAGGGAAGACTGGCGCCAGGCAGTATTCACCTGGCCTACATGCACCAGTGTTCTGACCTGGTATCAAGAATTTTTCAAGGACGACTTTTAAAGATTTCTTTCTTTCAGGGGAAGAAAAAACAAAAAGAAGGGAAAGCGGCTAAAAACGGGGGGGAACCAGAAAAAGAAGGGAAACAAAATGCAAACCCAGTAACTAATTAAAAAGAAAAAGTGGGAAACACCCACACACCAGTGTTCCCTCTAAGCTGAGTTAGTGTGAGCTAGCTCACAGGTTTTTAGTCTCAGTCTCACACGTTTTTGTCTTAGCTCAGGAAGGAAGGGTCCGGAGCAAACTAATTTATGCAGTAGCCAAATTGCTTGCTCAAAACTTTAATGCCAGTAGCTCACAAAGTAGAATTTTTGCTCACCAGACTCCACAGCTTAGAGGGAACATTGCACACCCACACATATATATAGAAGAAGAGAAGAGATTGGATTTATACCCCGCCCTTCACTACCCAAAGGAGTCTCAGAGCGGCTTACAAACTCCTTTCCCTTCCCCTCCCCACAACAGACACCCTGTGAGGTAGGTGGGGCTGAGAGAGCTCTTTCCAGAGCTGTCCTTGAGAGAACAGCTCTTATCAGAACTATGGCTTGCCTGAGGCCATCCAGCCAGGTGCAAGTGGAGGAGTGGGGAATCAAACCCGGTTCTCCCAGATTAGAGTCCGTGCACTCAACCACTACACCAAACTGGCTCTCAGAGAGATGGAGAAAGAGAGATGAAACAAAAATATAACAGTGGTTGCAGATCTATAAGAGGTTTCCAAATATCTTAAAACAAGTCTATATGCGGCTTCCGGTCTAGCTAAGATGGAGGACTGAAGCGTTTCGCAATCGTGCGAAGCGAGCGACGGCCACTTTTGACAGTTTGGGCAATATACAGCCCAACGCATCACTCCCCAGCGAGGGGGGGGGACAAGCAGGCAGCAGCGCCCTAGAGGGAGTGTGAGGTTGGCGTAATCCAGCTTCGGAAGAAGCTGAATTGGGCTTTGACCTCCTCCCACGAAGAAGGCAAGTGCCAAGCAACTCTATAGTGGCCGATCGAGCCGGGCTACCGGCATAAATTCTTCGTCAGCAGACTTCTTTGAAGAAGGACAACAACTGTGAGTTAAAAGAAACAATGCGAAACCCGTTTTGAACGTGCTAGATAACAAAAACGTGCCGCTTACCTGAACTGAGTTTGGAGTCAATTTGAATTAAGCGGTTGAGCGGAAAATGAATAGTAAATCCCAGAAATCCGATTCCGGAGAGAAAAAAGTTGATTGAAGCCTTTAAAAACTGTAAAAACGCTTATTGTTTAACATTCCTGTGGTGAAGATGGAGCCGTGTGCGCAACTGTAAAATCGAAACTCACGAACAATAGCGTGGGAAGAGCAGGCTGGTGTCACAAAGAAAGAGGTCCGTGTGAAACATCCAGGAAGTTGAATTCCTAGACGGGCATTAGCAAAAGGAAGACAGTGGAACTTTTAAAGGTGCCGGACCGGAAGTGAGTTGTATGCGGAAGGAAGGGCCTGCAAAGTATCAATTTGACCTACTCTACATGAAATTACCATAGAGAAGTTGCGCCCGACATTTTGAGGAGGACTTCAACTAAATTTGCTTTTTTAATATATTTCTAAGGGTCTTTGGAAAGCGTAAACAGAGAGGCATGGAGGACTAAATCTTATCATCTAGAAGAGTGCTTTATTTTGCGAATCTGTGAATTGGAAAGAAATCGCCAAGACGGAGACCAGGAGAGGCAAGAAAAGAGCCGACTCAGACCCAGAACTTAAACCTTGATTTATAGAGTGAACTCCAGAATTGCAGAAAAGAAGAATTTACCAAGGGATGTAATTGTACAATTTGTAACAAGATCAATAACAGAGGAGATATTCAAGAAGCAATTCAACGTCCCTTTTGTAATAGAGGGAAACAAAATTATGGTGATGAGAGAACTCCCAAGAACAATACTGCAAGACAGGAAAAGGTATAAATCCTTGGCGGACAAACTCAGAGCTTTGAGCATCAGATATAGATGGGAGATTCCACAAGGTTTATCCTTTACGTATCAAGGTGGGAGGATTCAGATCAGATCGATGATGGACTTTTATAAATTTAAGGCGGACAATGCGGACGTCTTTGGAGAACTTTAAAATAAAACGCATAATGGAGTACAAATTGTTGTCATGGAATGTTAATGGATTAAATTCACCAAACAAGAGGAAAAGAATCAATCATTGGATACAGAAACAGAAATGCAACGTGATATGCTTGCAAGAAACACATATTAGAAAACAGGATATAAAATATTTAAAGAATGCTTTATTTGGAATTGAATTTTGTTCTGCGGCCTCAAACAAGAAAAAAGGAGTTGTGACATATGTGAAGAAGGAGTTACAACCTACAGAAATTTTTAAGGACATAGATGGCAGATACGTGGGTGTGGAATTAATGATTCAGCAGAAAAAAACATTGTTGATCAACGTGTACGCACCCAATGGAGCAAAGGAAAAATTTTTTAAGGATATAACTGACCAATTACAACAATTGACTTATGAGCAAGTTATTATGGCCGGAGACTTTAATGGGACAATAGATCGTCTAGACAGAAAACCACAAAAGGACAACGAATTCAGCGGAAAATTGCCAAAGAATTTTTTTGAATTAGTTAAGCAAGAAAAATTAGAAGATGTTTGGAGGAAATGGAACCCGATGCAGAAAGACTTTACTTTTTATTCCAATAGACATTGCTCTTTTTCCAGAATTGATATGATTTGGATGTCTGAAGAATTATCAATGAAAACACATAAGACTGAAATTTTGCCAAGATGTAATTCAGATCACAATCCGGTGGTATGGAGTTCCACAGAAAGGAAAAAACCCTTTCTGTGGAGGATTAATGAAGACTTGTTGGATAAGAAAACGGTAATTGAGATGTTAAAGGAAGAAACGAAACAATTCTTTCAACAAAATTTAAATAAAGAAACACCGATACAGATTGTATGGGATGCTTATAAAGCGGTGATGAGAGGAATTCTCATCTCGCAAAACGTGAAGCAAAAAAAGGAAAAACTTCAAAAACAAACAGAAGTGTTAGAAAAAATTGCTCAGAAAGAAAAGGAATTAAAAAAGAAGCCTGGAAAAAAGCAAATTATTAAAGAATTAAAGTTGCTGAAGGAACAACTGAATGAGACTTGGAATCAGGAAATGTATTGGAATTTAAAGAAGTTACAACAGAAATCTTTTGAAGGGGCGAACAAACCGGGAAAATACTTAGCTTGGCAACTTAAGGCTAGAAGAGAGAGAAGAATGATAACCAAAATAATAGAAGATGGAAAAGAGTTCGTTGATCCTAATGGAATAAAGAGATGTTTCTTCAAGTATTATGCTAAACTATTCCAAACAACTAGAGTTGATCTTGAGAAGATTAAAACATATTTAAAGGAGATTCCACTACCAAAAATAAGTAAGGAATACAAAGATTTATTAAATGGTCCAATTCAAAAAGAAGAAGTGATGAAGGCAATAGAAGAGACAAAGTTGGGGAAGGCGCCTGGGCCGGACGGATTTACAGCGAAATTCTACAAAAAGATGAAAGAAGAAATTTCCCCGGTCCTGGAAGCTTTAACCAACGAAATAAGAGAAAACAAAAAGGTGCCGGACTCATGGAAAGAAGCAATTATTTCTTTGATTCCAAAGGAAGGACAAGATTCAACAAATGTAAAGAACTACAGGCCAATATCTCTTTTGAACAACGATTATAAAATCTTTGCAAAAATTATTGCAGAAAGGGTGAAAAACTATTTACAAACGGTAATTTCTGAAGATCAAGCGGGCTTTTTACCCAAAAGGCAGATTAGAGACAATGTAAGAATAGTAATGGACGCAATTGAATATTATGAAAAGCACCCAGAAAAAGAAGTAGCTTTTCTGTTTGTTGATGCAGAAAAAGCTTTTGACAATCTTAATTGGAATTTTATGCACCAGATGATGGAAAAGATTGAAGCGGGACAACATTTTAGAAATTGTATTGAAGCTATCTATTCTGAACAAAGAGCTAAAATAAATGTGAATAAAGAACTGACAGATAACTTCAAAGTACAGAAAGGAACAAGGCAAGGTTGTCCGTTATCACCGTTATTATTTATCTGGGTATTGGAAATACTTTTACAAAAAATACAGTACGATCAAGAAATAAAGGGCTTGACACATAAAGGACACCAATACAAATATCGAGCATTTGCAGACGATGTAATGTTTATGGTGGAAAACCCAACAGAAAAATTGACATTGCTTTTTCAAAAAATAAAGGAGTTTGGAGAATTGGCCGGCTTTTACGTAAATAAGAATAAAACAAAACTTATATGTAAAAACATGATCAAACAAAAACAAGTGGAACTACAAGAACTGGTACAATGTGAAGTAGTTAAAAAAACAAAATACCTTGGAATTGAATTAACGGCAAAAAATATAGACCTATATAAGAATAATTATGAGAAATTATGGACTAAGCTGACTCAAGATTTTAAGAAATGGGATAAAATGAACTTATCACTGATGGGAAGAATATCAGTTATAAAAATGAATGTCCTACCACGTTTGATGTTCCTGTTCCAAACAATACCAATTCTGCATAAAACGGATTTGTTGGCCAAGTGGCAACAAGAGTTGTCAAAATTTGTTTGGGCAGGCAAGAAACCAAGGATCAAAATGAAAATACTTTGTGATGCCAAAGAAAGAGGAGGTCTACAAATGCCAAATCTTAGACTATATTATGAAGCGGTTTGTCTAACATGGATGGATCAATGGGTGAAGCTTGAAAATGACAGATTGTTGGGGTTGGAAGGGCATGATTGTAGATTTGGCTGGCATGCATATTTATGGTATGACAAGATAAAAATGGACAGTTTTTTTAAACTTCACTTGGTGAGAAAAGCTTTGTATATGGTATGGACAAGATATAAGAAGTACCAGAGTGACTTAAGACCATTGTGGATTGTACCAGTAGAAGTGTTGATATCTTACTCAAGACAGCGAGGTAGAGACTGGTTGCCATATAGAGATTTAATTAAAAAAGAGGGAACAGAGTGGGTAATGAAAAAGCAGAATGAAATTGAATATGAATATGAGTGGTTGAAATATATGCAGATTTATGATCTTTTTAGATCTGACAAAAAAAACTATGGTTTTAGAGAGGAAAAAAATGAAATTGAAAAGGTTTGGGAGAGTGGAGGAGGAAAAAATATTTCTAAAATGTATAAGGTGTTGTTAAAATGGTATACTGAAGATGAAACTGTTAAAGAACAAATGTTAAAATGGGCTATTAATATGAATAAGGAAGTGGATATGGAAACTTGGGAATATTTGTGGAAAAACTCTATTAAGATCTCGACATGTACTAATGTTAAAGAAAATTGTTATAAGATGATGTATAGGTGGTACATGACACCTAAGAAGATTGCAAATATGAATCAAAATATGTCAAACAAATGTTGGAAATGTAAGAGGCATGAGGGCTCATTTTATCATATGTGGTGGACTTGTGAGAAAGCTGTAGACTTTTGGACAAAAGTCCACAATGAAATGCAAAAAATATTGAAATGTTCTTTTAAAAAAGCACCGGAAATTCTGCTTTTGGGACTTAAAATGGAAGAAGTCAATACGACTAAAAAGACTTTACTCTGGTACCTGATAGTGACAGCGAGAATGATTTATGCTCAGTTTTGGAAGACGGAAAAGGTACCAGAGGTTGAAGAATGGATACAAAAAGTTCTGTTCATGGCACAAATGGATAAGATTACAAAAAAACTGAATAACAAAGAAGACGATGAGTTTTTTGGAGAATGGAATGATTTTAAAATTTATCTGGAAAAGAACTGGGATGTGAAACAAAACTTAATATGTTTAGATCAATATTAAGTCAAACGATGTTATCTTTAGATTGTAATGATGAGAAACTGATATTGTTGATGATATGAAGTAATTTGGAGCAGGGGTGGAAGCATTGTGGGAAGCCATTGGAGGGAGGGGAGGAACTGGGAATGGGGTAGACAATTGATAGAATGAAAAGTTTTATATGTTGTATTCCTGAAAAAATAAAAAATTTGTTTACCAAAAAAAAAAAAAAAACAAGTCTATATGCAATGGGTGTCTATATGCCATGTGTTCAAATATTCTAACGTCCCTTATCCATTGCTTTACCAGGGGAGGGCTTTTATCTTTCCAGCGTTGTAATACGAGTCCTTTAGCTGTAGTAGGGGCACGGAGGGGCTGCGCTAGCTCAGTGGTTAAGACGCTGAACTGCAGACCGGAAGGTCGGTAGTTCGGCAGTTCGAGACCCGAGTGCCGCAGGACGGAGTGAGCTCCCATCTCTGGCCCCAGCTCCTGCCAACCTAGCAGTTCGAAAGCAAGAAATTGGAAAGTCGATAAATAGGGACCACCGGTGGGAAGGTAACAGCGCTCTGTGCACCTCGGCATCTAGTCATGCTGGGCACATGACCACGGAGAAGTCTTCGGACAGCGCTGGCTCTTCGGTTTGGAAACGGAGATGAGCACCGCACCCTTAGAGTCGGATTCGACTGGCTTTCGAGCAAGGGAGACCTAGGGGCACGGGGGGTCCATTAACCGTTGACTATCCGTTAGCCTCCAAGGCACCGGCAGGTATCTTCAAAGAAAAACCAAATGACTGGACACGCCCAAAGCATAGAAACACAGGGCTGGAAGGGAACCCAAGGGTCATCTAGTCCAACCCCCTGCAAAATGCAGGACATTCACAGCTACCTCCCCCCGCTTACAGCTTTCCCGGCGACCCCTGCTCCGTGCCCAGAGGTAGGCAAAAAAGCTCCAGGATCCCTGGGCCAGTCTGGCCTGCAGGAAAATTCTTTTCTGACCCCAAAGCGGAGATTGGTATTACCCTAGGCAGGTAAGGAAGGGCCACGAGAACTAAGCACTGAGGCAACCCTCCCTGCCCTCCGTCTCACGTTTAAGGGATGTTTAAGGGAGAAGCATCTTTTTAACGGATGACTTTAAAGAAAGCAAGCATACGTTTTGGCATACTCTTGTGAAGTGTGGGTTAGTTTCTTTCTAATAGTAAAACATTAAAAAAATTGCATATGTTTTGTTCTAAAAGGTGGCAGAAGGTATTTCAGAGCACTATTTTTTTTTGGGGGGGGATGAGTATTTGTGTGTGTGTGTGTGTGCTTGCATGCCTGGAAGTCATGGTGACTTCTGGCGACCCCCTAGTGGGGCTAGGACGTTTCAGAGAGGTGGCTTGATGTTGCCTAACTCTGCGTCCTGGCCCTGGTATTCCTTGGAGGTTTCCCTTCCAAGCACTTGCCAGGGTCGGCCCTGCTCAGCTTCTGAGATCTGACGAGATCAGGCTGGCCTGGGCTATCCAGGTCCGGGCGGGAGCACTTTTTCTGGCTAGTGTTGCTCTCGCTCTCTGCGTTTTCTTCTGTCTGAAATCAATGATAATAGTAAGAAAAAACAGAGCTATTTTTGGGCAGGAACGCACAGGAACGGAGTTCCGTCTGGCTCCCACGCCCAGCAGGAACTCATTAGCATAATAGGCCACACCCAACAGCAGAAACTCATTCGGATTGGCTACATTAGGGGGGTGTGGCCTAACATTCAAAGGGGTTCCTGCTACAAAAAAAAGGCCCTGGGTTTTGACCACAAGCAAGGTAAACAGAAGAAGAAGCAAACGGTGGGTGTGGCTGGATAACCACACTTCTGGTAACATGGGGGTGCGGCCTGATGTGCTAATCAGGGGTGTGGCCTAATAGGCTAATGGGTGTCTGCTGTTGGGTGTGGCCTATTATGCTAATGAGTTCCTGCTGTGCTTTTTCTACAAAAAGAGCCCTGAGAAAAAATAACAATACTTTCCCTGCTGTCTGTTTCCAGGTTAACCTAAAGAAGAGGTGCCCTTTTTGGAATGTCATCAGTCACTGCGGAATCAGAGATTGTGCAGTGGAGCCTTGCCAGTCTGTAAGTGTGTGTGTGTGGGGAAAATTCTCTGACAATCGCCCCCTCCCCCCCCCCCAGTTCCAGGACTCTTTCCAGGGAGCTGAGAGAATCCGTCGGTTCTTGGGGGGGGGGGGGGGGTTTCCCAGAGGATTCTCCCGAGCGTCCCAACCCGGAGCACCTTTGATGCAAACAACAATTCCGTAGAGCGGTAAAGACCGAGCTGTTCTGGCAAGCGTTTTAATCAGGGCTTTTTAAAAAGCCCAGCAGGAACTCATTAGCATATTAGGCCACACCTCTGACAGCGCAACACGTTGGCATATTAGGCCACACCCCCATGTTACCAGAAGTGTGGCCATCCAGCCACACCCACTTTTGCTTCTTATTCTGTTTACCTTGTTTGTTGTCAAAACCCTGGGCCTTTTTTTGTTGCAGGAACTCCTTGGCATGTTAGACAACACCCCCCGAATGTAGCCAATCCTAATGAGGTTCTGCTGTTGGGTGTGGCCTATTATGCTAATGGGTTCCTGCTGGGCGTGGCCAACTCAGGAGCCAGCCGGAACTCCGTTCCTGTGCGTTCCTGCCCAAAAATAGCCCTGGTTTTAATAGTCCGGACCACACTGACCGTTCCACATAACTACTAGCACTCCATAACAGATGGCCGCCACATCTTAATCTTAAATTTAATAAGTTGTGTTTTGACATTTTATCGATTGTATTGTTATAGACTTGATATTTTATTAATTGTATACTGGTTTTTAACTATTGTAAGCCGCCCTAAGCTGCTTTGGCGGGAGGGCGGGGTGAAAGTCTAGCAAATAAATAAATAAATAAATAAGTCTAATAAAATAAATAAGTAATTGTGCCCCCCTGGGATTGCTTTATTTACGTTGGTCCCAGTGGTTTTGATGGATATTGTTGACTTCTGGTGACCCCTAGAAGAAGAAGAAGAGATTGGATTTATAGCCCGCCTTTCACTTGGAGTCTCAGGGCGGCTTACAGACTCCTTTCCCTTCCCCTCCCCACAACAGACACCCTGTGAGGTAGGCAGGGCTGAGAGAGCTCTTGACAGAAACAGCTCTTTTTCAAGGACAGCTGTGCCAGAGCTTGTGACTGACCCAAGGTCACATCAGCAGGTGCAAGTGGAGGCGTGGGGAATCAAACCCGGTTCTCCCAGATTAGAGTCCGCGCACTTAACCACCACACCAAACTGGCTCTGTGAGGTTAAAAGGCTGTTACCATTGTTACTAGTGGGGTTAGGACGTTTCAGAGAGGTGGCTTGACATTTGCCTGCCCCAGCGTCCAGGCCCTGGTATTCCTTGGAGGTCTCCCATCCAAGTACTTGCCAGGGTCCGCCCTTCTTCGCTTCCGAGATCTGACGAGATCGGGCTTGCCTGTGAGCTTGTCCACATTCTCATGTTCCTCGCTCGTAAGTTCCTGTTTCTTTTTTTGGGGGGGAGGCAGGGTGTTACTGTTCCACAGCTGGTTTGGCTCCCTCTAGAGGTTGATTCCATATTACACCTGTGTATGTCCGGCATATCTTCCTGCAGATTTAAACTTCAGGTTTTTATGCTGGACATAAACTGGTTGCAATATTGAATGGACCCCTAGAAGGAGCAAAATAAGTGCGGAACAGACCTCACCACCCCCCACCCCAAAGAAAAAGGAACTTACAAGCAAGGAAAAGGAGAATGCGGAAACATCCTGTATCTGTAAAGATTGATTATTTTACAAAAATGAATAATATGAAACTTAACTTGGCGGCTTGCAGCTTTCCCTCCTTCTTGGATCCTACGGGTTAAGTAGCTTTCGCACTTGTGCTTTAAGATATATCCGTTGCCATGACAATACTCATTGCAGAATAGTTTCTTTCAATTTTATAATTAACTTTCTGTAACTTTGGGAAATCAGTCTTTTGGGGGCGGGGGCGGGATTGTAGTCTGTGTTTGATTTTGCGACTCCGGTAATGCTGGTCGGCAACTGATATATTTTTTTACAAGGGCCATGTGTTTTGAATTGTGTGAGGTTAAAATGCTGTTACCATTGGCCCCACCCACTCCAGGGGGGCAAAGGGCTCTTTAACCTCTTCCTTCCCAGTGATCTGCAACAGAGGCCGCGGTAATCCTTACCGAGAGCTCTTGGCCTGGGACTTTTTAAAGAAGGAACAGTGGCACACAATTAGGGAGGAGGGGGGTTAAAGGTAAAGATAAAGGTTCCCTTGCTCGAAAGCCAGTCGAATCCGACTCTAGGGTTGCAGTGCTCATCTCCGTTTCAAAGCCGAAGAGCCAGCACTGTCCGAAGACGTTTCCGTGGTCATGTGGCCGGCATGACTAAACACCAAGGCGCACGGAATGCTGTTCCCTTCCCACCGAAGCGGTACTATTTATCTGCTTGCAATTTCTTGCTTTCGAATTGCTAGGTTGGCAGGAGCTGGAACTAGAGACGGGAGCTCACTCCGTCTTGCGGCACCCGGGTCTTGAACTGCTGAACTACCGACCTTCCACAGCCTGCAGTTCAACGTCTTAACCACTTGAGCCACCACAGCTCCAGGAGGGGGGGTTACCTGGGGTCAAATGGGGGACTCGGGTAGAGTTGGTGGGTCACCAGTTGCCACTCGTAATTTTGTCTGATCTAGCAGGGTCGGCGGAGCTGGGCATCCCAGTGCGAAATCTGCCCCCTTCAAGACGTTCAACTGGCCTTGCTGCCTAGTGGTTAACGCAGAGGCATAGCGGATGGGTGGGTGACAGTGTGCATAGCAACCGAGTCTATTGGGGTGGGGCCAAATTGACTTCAGGCTCAAATTGACACCCCCCAGCCCCGCAGAATCGGAGAGACTGTTCTGTTTGGAGATTTGAATGCAGTGAATCAGGCTTTGATCGGTCATCTCTGTTTGGTGTAGTGGTTAAGTGCGTGGTGTAGTGGTTAAGTGCGTGGACTCCAATCTGGGAGAACCGGGGTTGATTCCCCACTCCTCCACTTGCACCTGCTGGATGACCTTGGGCAAGCCGTAGTTCTGATAAGAGCTGTTCTTGAAAAAGAGCCGTTTCGGTCAAGAGCTCTCTCAGCCCCGCCTACCTCACAGGGTGTCTGTTGTGGGGAGGGGAAGGGAAAGGAGTTTGTAAGCCGCTCTGAGACACCTTTGGGTAGTGAAGGGCGGGGTATAAATCCAATCTCTTCTTCTTCTTCTTCTCTTTTCAGAACAAGATCCCTGACGGAATTAGATCAGCCAGTTACAAGGTGAGTGATTACGGGTCCTGGGGGGTAAAACCAGCCTTGCTGTAGCCACAATCCTAGCCAGGATCTGGTGGAACTAGGAAAAGTGCATCTGGACTGAACTCTTTTGTGCACTGGGCCGGGTTAAGGCCAACTGATGCCTTCAGCACAGCCCAAGAAGAAGAGATTGGATTTATACCCCGCCCTTCACTACCCAAAGGAGTCTCAGAGCGGCTTACAAACTCCTTTCCCTTCCCCTCCCCACAACAGACACCCTGTGAGGTAGGTGGGGTGGAGAGAGCTCTGACAGAAACTGTTATTTTTCAAGAACAGCTCTTATCAGAACTACGGCTTGCCCAAGGTCATCCAGCCAGGTGCAAGTGGAGGAGTGGGGAATCAAGCCCGGTTCTCCCAGATTAGAGTCCGTGCACTTCACCACAACACCAAACTGGCTCTACCACCTCTGGTCTTCTTTTTTAGTATTCGGAAGAAGCCAACACCTCTGCTAAGGACTGCGAAGAAGAGGAGAGGCTCGGAGCCGTCGATGAATCGTTAAGGTGCTCTTTCTTCTGGATTATATGGGGAGAGGCCACGGCTCAGTGCAGCCCTGCAGTTCTGGGAGCTGCACTTTAAGGAAGACATACTTGGAGGGTTATCATCTGGGCAAAGCCATGAAGAAGAAGAGGGGGAGGAGGAAATTGGATTTATACCCCGCCCTTCACTTGGAGTCTCAGAGCGGCTTACAAATTCCTTTCCCTTCCCCTCCCCACAACAGACACCCTGGGAGCAATGTTCCCTCTAAGCTGTGGAGTCTTGTGAGCAAAAATTCTACTTTGTGAGCTACTGGCATTAAAGTTGTGAGCAGGCAATTTGGCTACTGCATAAATTACTTTGCTCTGGAACCATCCTTCCTGAGCTAAGACAAAAATGTGTGAGCCGGAGGCTAAAGAACTGTGAGCTGGCTCACACTAACTCAGCTTACGGGGAACACTGCCTGGGAGGTAGATGGGGCCGAGAGAGCTCTTTCGAGGACTGCCCTTGAGGGATCAGCTCTGAGAGAACTTGTGGCTGACCCAAGGTCACACCAGCAGCTGCACGTGGAGGAGTGGAGAATCAGACCTGGTTCTCCCAGATTAGAGTCCGAGCTCCTAACCACGGCACCAAAGTGGCCTTGTTTTCTATGGCCTTGTTCTCTATGGCTTCAGAGTCAAAGACTCGCTTTAATGGGTTGGATTTACAGATGGTTAGATTTTGGTTGCTCATGAGGTGAAAACAGCTAATGTGTTTTACAGCTGCTGAACCTATGACCTGGGAGTGAGGTGGGCTCTCTTTTGCTGGAGCTCTCGAGCATCGTTTACACAGCCAGCTGTCAGATTTGGGTTGGGTTTCCTGCAGTGAGTGGAGTGGGTTGGGCTCGATGACCTTTCAGGTCCTTTCTAACTCTAGGACTTCGTAATGATGTGCATCTGTCCCAGGGATATTCAGTTCAATTCAATTCAATTCATTACAGGTCTATATGACCGAAGTCTTGACCAAGAGGATACAAAAGGGGAATAAAATAGGTACATAAAATAGACATAACATGTGTCAAGGTACATAATCACAGTCACATAAAACCCAGGCTGAGCCCAGAGATAAAAAATTACCTAACTACACTTGGGGCGGAGCCAACTGACTAAAATCATCCGAAGATTAAAAGTCGGTGTCGGAGTTTTCAGAAGTGCTGAAATTTTCAGTGTTTCTTGAGAGCAGCCACCTTAGCCAGGAACCGCGTCACGTTAGCTGTTATCAAGCCAGGAACCGCGCCACATTAGCTGTTATCAGTCCATCGGCATTTGAGTCAGATAACAGTACTGAAAGCACCCAAGGTTACGCGGGAAGATTCGTCTTTGTAAGAATAGGAAAGATATAAGTGCCTCTAACTTGAGTCCAGTGGGGACAGCGAAACAGCAGATGATCTAAGGTTTCAATTTCGCCAGAATTGCGCAGACAAAGGCGATCTGAGTAAGGAAGGCCTCAAAATCTTCCCAGAGTTACCATCGTTGGAAATACATTTAAGCGGGCCAGCATAAAGGCGCAGCGGTGAGATGGATATTGTAACCACCGATATTTCCTTCTTCCCTTTGCAGTGTGAAAACCGTGGAGGCCGTGAGGAAGTGGACCCGGCACGACGATGCTGCGAACAGCTTTTGCGAAGCCGATGGTATTGTTGGGGTTAAGTTGCGTTTGCTGTTGTGGCTACAATTCAGGCGGGGCTCAGGACTGAAAATCCTTTGGGATTTCTGGGTGAAGCTGTGAGAGAGCTGGCGCTTTGCCCGCTTGGCTTTTTGGGTCGGGCAGTCCAGGGCTACCCTCCGGGGGAGCAAAGGAACTTCGGAGTCCTGCTTGAAGCAAGTCGGCTCCTCCTAACCCAATTTCTCCCTGACATCCCAACAAGGAAGATGCCTCCTGGCCTGGCCGGGCGTATCAGACGGTTCCCTTTGTCTCTGAACACGGATATCTTTGCTTCCTAGATATCCAGTCTCCCGAGGCCGAGTACGTAGACCTCCTGCTCAATCCCGAGCGCTACACCGGTTACAAAGGGCCCGACGCCTGGAGGATCTGGAACAGCATTTATGAGGAGAACTGCTTCAAGTACGTGTGTAAACTTCGCCAGTTTGGTGACAGCCAGTTTGGTGTCGTGGTTAAGAGCGGCAGACTCTAATCTGGGAGAACCGGGTTTGATTCCCCACTCCTCCACATGCAGCTGCTGGTGTGAACTCGGGCCAGTCACAAGTTCTCTCAGAGCTGTTCTTGAAAGAGCAGTTCTTGAAAGAGCTCTTTCAGCCCCACCCACCTCACAGGGTGCCTGTTGTGGGGAGGGGAAGGGAAAGGAGGTTGTAAGGTGCTCTGAGACTCCAAGTGAAGGGCGGGGTATAAAAACCAATCCAATCTCTTCTTCTTTGATTCCCCACTCCTCCACATGCAGCTGCTGGTGTGACCTTGGGCCAGTCACAAGTTCTCTCAGAGCTGTTCTTGAAAGAGCAGTTCTTGAAAGAGCTCTTTCAGCCCCACCCACCTCACAGGGTGCCTGTTGTGGGGAGGGGAAGGGAAAGGAGGTTGTAAGGTGCTCTGAGACTCCAAGTGAAGGGCGGGGTATAAAACCAATCCAATCCAATCTCTTCTTCTTCTTTGATTCCCCACTTCTCCACATGCAGCTACTGGTGTGACCTTGGGCCAGTCACAAGTTCTCTCAGAGCTGTTCTCTCAGGAGCAGTTCTGGAAAGAGTTCTCTAAGCCCCACCTACCTCACAGGGTACCTGTTGTGGGGAGGGGAAGGGAAAGGAGATTGTAAGCTGCTCTGAAGCTCCGAGTGAAGGGCAGAGTTTAAATCCAATCCCTTCCCCCTCCCCAGGCATCTTTTAAGAGGGGGAGGGAGGATAGATTTGGGGTTAGCTATTATATTTTTTACTTTTAACAGGGCATGTTCTTAACGATTATTGTCAGCCGCCTTGAACCACGAAGAAAGGCGGGATATGAATGTTTAAATAAATAAATAAATAAATAAATGTTTTCCTTTATCTCCCTAGGCCACAGTCGATAAAAAGGCCTTTGAATCCCTTGACTTCTGGCAGAGGTAAAGTTCCTGTTCGGTTTGTACTGCGTTGCTTCTAAAAGGAGATTTTTTAAAAAAGAGAGAGTTCTGGATTTGGGGCAAGATGTTAGAGGATTGGGAGACAGGTATTATGACTGACCTCGGAAAAGGCTAAATGCGTGCTGAGATTTTTCAGGAGCGCCAGCAGAACGCATCTGACAAGGTGTCACTGCATGCTGGAGCCAGCATCCAAAGAATATGGACTTTCACTTAACAGAAGCAGGAAAGATCTAACAGTAGAAAAGAGCAAGAGTCCAGTGGTACCTTAAAGACTAACAAAATCAGTGGCAGAATTAGAGCTTTCATGAGTCACAGCTCAGATACAGCTAGAATGTGATTCCATCTGTCCTTATATCTTGGAGAGTGGATTGATTCTTCACGAGGTTGATGGATTTCCATTCCGTATGGCTAACGGTGGTTCCTTCCATGGAGACAGACAAAGTTGGGTGGCCGTGTTAGTCTGTCTGCAGCAGCAGAAAAGAGCAAGAGTCCAGGAGCATCTTGAAGACTAACAAAATTTGTGGCAGGGGAGGAGCTTGCTTGAGTCACTGCCCACTGGTTCAGAAACCCTGCCACAAAATTCAAGGTGCTCCCGGACTCTTGCTCTTTTCTACCGCTGCGGACAGACTAACACGGCCACCCATCTCGATCTACCTCAGCAAGGATCTAGTTCTTATGGTTGCTAAAAAGGTCTAGAGCAGGGGTGTCAAACGTGTGGCCCAGGGGCCAGATCAGGCCCCCGGAGGGCTTCTATCAGGCCCGCAGTGGAACTGGCGGTCCTCTGCTTCTTCTTCCAAGTCTGCTGCTGCTGCGTCATCGTAGGTTTGCAACTTACAGATACACACCTGAGCAGCATACTCAAGACTGCAACAGCACAGACATTTTGATGCAATAATTCAGAGCAAGAGGTGTCAGTTATCAGACACTGCTGAATAAACAAAATACTGCAAGAGTGCTAATGTGTTAGGCATGTTTTTATTTTAGATAAAAAAAACCCTTTGTGTTTGTGTCCTTTATAAAGTTTATATCTCCGCTACCTGGCATTACATTTTGTGACACACCCGGCCCGGCCCAAAGAGGTCTCAGTTATATTGGATCCGGCCCTCATAACGAATGAGTTCGACACCCCTGGTCTAGAGCAATTGCCTGGCAACATTTCAGAAGCCAGAAAGAAAGGGGTACCATCAGTAGGGTAGAAATGGGAGGGCCCTGAATAGTTCTCTGCCCTCCCCTTGATTTGCAAACACTAATTATAGTATGCAAAATAAGATAGGTTTGTATAAACAATGTTGGTTGCAGCATCCAGGTTTTTTTTCTTCCTTGAAGCAAAACTTGATTTGCCCGGGCAGAGAATTCCTCAGGTAGAAAGCATTCAGCCCTGAGCCTAGACAAATACTAGAGGTGTTTAGGAAATACATTGCAGAAAGCCGTGACTATTCATTGGAGTGACCCGTACCCAGGGGTCATTTCCTGCAGGAGCGCAGGGCAGTAAAGAGCCCAGGGGGCGGGCACATGCAACAAGCCCCACCCCCTGCTCGCAGCAGCCCTCAGTCAGAGCAAGAAGCAGCCAGGTGAGTTGCAAAGCCCTCCCCCCCGAAGCCCCCCAGTCCAAAACAGCCCAGTGGCACCTTGAAGACCAAGTTTTATTCAGGTACAAGCTCTCCCTCCTCTGTGAGGACAGATCTGCACGTTCCCCCTCCCCCCATAGCTAGCAATCCAAAACAGTCCAGTGGCAACTTTAAGACCAAGTTTTATTCAGGTACAAGCTCTCCCTCCTCTGCGAGGGCAGATCTGCACGTTTCCCCCCCCCATAGCTAGCAATCCAAAACAGTCCAGTGGCAACTTTAAGACCAAGTTTTATTCAGGTACAAGCTCTCCCTCCTCTGCGAGGGCAGATCTGCACGTTTCCCCCCCCCATAGCTAGCAATCCAAAACAGTCCAGTGGCACCTTTAAGAAC